TATTTTGAGGAGGATTTTCCGATAATGATGCTACATTTAACCGATTTTATACTTTACATTCTATTTTTGCATTTATTATTTCATTATTAGTAATTATTCATTTATTTTTTTACATTTAACAGGACCTAACGATCCCACAGGTACAAATAACTTTTTCGAGAAAAACTAATTTTAAAAAAATACAAAAATTAAATTTATTGTATATCTAGATTTTCTTAGGTGCTGAAATATTATTGACAATAAGAGAACAAAACTTTATTCCGATTTGAAAGTACAGAATATCATCTATACTTAACAGGTTATTGCTGGAAATCTCTATCACGAGTCATACTCTTCAAAGTATGGTAATGGGTTAATTCAAATATTTGAAAAATGACGTATGATAATGAGAATGTCCATAATGATCCGCGGGCCAGTCATTACATTCACAATCAGTCAGGAACTTGTGTACTTCACTTATTAGTCACTCATTTGCCCTTCTACCTAGCCCCTGCATTATTATCCCTTCTCCAACCACTTGCATGTCACTCCAGAGAACCCTATATACATATATACCAACTGTGAAATAGAGAAACAGAACATTTAGAATTCTTCTTCGCGATTGTACTAACAAGACGTATAACGCTCTTCCTAAATAAATTTCTTCGCTAAATTGTAACAACTGGATTTCCAAATTTTGTAACTTTAGACTATTGAGATTGTGTGAAGATACAATTATACAGAATTTATGCAATAAATTTGTCTCTTTGGATATACATATATTACGACAAAAGTCGCTGACGATTTGAATAAACATATTTTGGTTATTTGTAGTATTATAAAATAATTGCTATCAGTGCTCCGTAAATATAGTGTTAGAACGTGTTGTGAACTCATTTAGAATTTTCGTCGGAATCCAGCATATCGTCTATTCTACAAGAAATACACATACATTTAAGGTACACGTCCGAATTTGTTCTTCGTTTCTGTTCCATAAAATGATTGGATTCTTCAAAGAGTGAGCCTCGAAATAAAACGTTAAATTAAGTTCTGTTATGAAAAGACTGCATTACCAGTGGCAACGTAAACACGCTGTGCCTTCTTCTGGTGAAAGAATAGGTTAGTGGAGGCGGTTAATGGGGTGTGACCATTGCTGTGCCTCCGGTTTCTCAGGCATAATTAACTTTATATACAGAGTATCACGTAACTGGTGGGCAAAAAATAAGTAGAAAACATAGAATAAGTTCTTCTCTCTTCTAAGAAAAATTAGATTGAAAAAGTAGTACTATTAAAAACGAATCAAATATCACATCTGGCGATTAGATACCGATTACACTTCTTGTCACACTACAAGTTATGCGAACTTGACGTATCTTCCATTGACATACCTTCCAACTCATTGTCAGTTTCCTCGGAAACATAGCCTTAAATGTAAAAGTGTTATTCTTTTTCCTAGACTTATAATTTGACGTAAAATCAGCCCCTATCCAGTTGTACCATCAGTTACATGACACCCTGTATATCAAATAAGACATATTACATTTTTTATTCTTTTATTTTGTTCATTTTCGAATAAAAAATGTAATATATTTTATTCTATAAATATAAAATCAATTATGCCCGAAAACAAACCAAAGACACAGCAATTGGTCACCCCATAGTAATCGGCTCCATTACTCTAATACGTTTTCGGTTTATTTCTGTTTCTGGCAATTGAATCAGGAAGTTATTGTTTTGCATAAAGCAGTCTGTAAATAATAAACGCTAATGATTGCGATTTAGGTAATTAGAACGTATTTAACATTTTTCTCTAAGATGATGGTGTTTTATTTTTATATAATAATATACAAAAAAGTAGTCTCTGTACTTCAATAGGACTCATAAAGTAATGACGTAGCAGAAAGTACTACTTTGACCTGGTTATATATATATACAAACATTGTTTTGTTATGTGGCACTACGAAGTTAATTAGTTCAAAATTATTTACATGTTTATAGTAAGCAGACAGCTGCATCTCGATAATTGATGCGGAAGGAACGCATCAAATAAAGCAAGATGGCTACCAACTTGGAGATATTCTTCGGCGTTGCAGCGGTGCTCGTCGCAATCTATTATTACTTCACGGTACATTTCGACTTTTGGAATGTTCGAGGCGTGCCGGGACCAAAACCTGTGCCATTTTTCGGCAATATTATGGGTCCTATGTTTGGGAAACTGTCCTTCCCGGAATTCCTAATAGCACTCCGAAAACGGTACAAAGACGAACCAATGGTTGGAATTATAATAAGACGAACACCCAATCTTATTGTACAAGACCCGGATCTAATCAAGGACATTCTTATCAAAGACTTTCCGAAATTCGCTGATCGCGGATTCCTTCGGAACGAAATAGTAAGCTCTTGATTATAATGAACAATGTGTAACATGTTTCCAGATACTATCCTATCACTAGAGTGCGGACTTTATTTCTTTTTTATGAATAAGTTGAACAGAGGTCAAATACAAAACTGTGAAGTCATTAGAAGAATTTGATAACATTGTGTTACATAATTTTCAACTTATTCAAATGACTAAAAAACAAAATACATATACATCTAATTTCGATTTCTCCCAGATGACACAGAACATTTTTATTTGACATAAAAGTCCGCAGTCGCCTGGTCACTTATAAATTACTAACATAATTGTCTAGATCACTTTTTTATCAGAAAAAGGTTAATACAATTGCCTTGAAAGTTTAGTTAACGAAAATCTGTGATCTGAAATAGATTTTACCAAAAGTTGATTCGTGGATGGACTTTAGTTGCTAAAAAATGTGTTGTTAGTATTGTTCTTTTAATATCAGTAGAAGGACTCACATAACTGAGCATCTTAAATATTTTTATTAATATAATAATAATAATAATGTAATAATAATATTTTATTAATATTTTATATTTGGGATCTTTTCTTCATCTCCTAAATACCATCTTAACCGACGAAATACATAGGAATACAATGATCTCCGGAAAAATTCTTGATCTTTCTTTATACGTGCGGCTGTGTGTGTGTGTGTGTGTGTGTGTGTGTGTGTGTTTAAATGCTAAAATAAAAGTGTCTTATCATGTCCTCAGGCAGAGCCAGTATCTGGGCATCTATTCGCCCTGGAAGCAAGAAGGTGGCGACCGTTGCGAAATCAATTCTCACCAGTATTTACGTCGGGGAAATTAAAAGGAACTTTTTCGCTTATCTTAGAGTGTGCCGAACACTTGGGCGACTATCTAGACAAACTAGTCGAGAGGAACGAACCTATCGACAGCCGAGAGTTGGCGGCAAAGTTCACTACCGACGTAATCGGTAGCTGTGCATTCGGCATCGAAATGAACTCGCTGTCAGACCAAGAAAGCAAATTTCGCCAAATGGGCAAGAAAATCTTTGCAACAGACTTCTTGTCGATAATCAAATTTAGGATGAAAGAATGTACACCCCGGCTCTACGATATGTTGGGTTACATATATCCGTACGATGAACTTTCTGAGTTTTTCACGAAAATTACGGTGGACACGATGGACTATCGGACCAAAAACAATATCTTCAGACCTGACTTTATGAACATCCTTATGGAACTGAAAAAGAATCCGCAGAAAATCCCAGACATCGGTATAACTGTTCATAAAATTTTCAGATTAGTTTAATTAAAACTAATATGATTAATTAAATCATAAGCTGCAATTTTGCTGCGTTTTCAATAGCGTCACATGTTCAGTAACTTCATATATCCTTTCCGGAGAGTATACGTAACTCTTTTGTGAAAAGAATTAGCATTTAAAAAATCGATAAATTAAAATCACAAAACTAAAGACTTATAAGCGATGATTCCTAAAACGAAAATTTAGAATATCAAAAAATTTTAGAAGAAACTGTAAAGATTAACAAATCTCATTTAAAAAAGTAACTAATGTCTCTAAACATTTTTCTTTTTGTTAATAAAATGGCTCATGTACAATTTTCAGAATTGACAGATACCCTCCTAGCTGCGCAAGCGTTCGTCTTCTTTGCAGCCGGGTTTGAAACTTCGTCAACGACCATTAGCAACGCTCTCTATGAATTAGCCTATAACCAGGATATTCAAGACAAATTGCGGGAAGAAATTGTTAAGTACTACTTGGAAAACAATGGAGATTGGAAATATGAAGTTATGAAGCAGATGGAATATTTAGAAAAAGTATTTCAAGGTAGGTGTTAAATATCGTCGAAGTTATTAAATTTTCTGTGATGAATAGTTCTAATTTTGAATAGTGCGTTGAACACAGATTTCAAAGTGGTTGCCAATTACCTTCAGTTTCTTAATATATTTTTTTAAGAAAGTAGACATTTTCAATTTTACGAACTTTCTCTAGTTGGTCTATAAAAGCTGTATGAATGTTACTGATATAGACAGATTGTGTAGAGCCCTTGTGTAGGACTACGTCTTCTGATCCTCGTCGCGCGCCTCACTCACCCGTGGTCTCCTAATAAATAATTCTAAATACTGTGAAATATGTTTTTATGGAATATAAACTTCGAGACACGTTTAGACAATGTTTAAAAAAGGAGAGCGAAATGTATTTAACTCACTACATAATTATTATACCTGGGATATTTTGCAACTTTTTTTACAAATAGTAGTGAAAAATTTGAAGAGTTAAAGCTTTAATATTTTTTTATTGGATTAAGATTCTTAAAGGTTGTGTGGCAATTAGAGAAAAACGATTTTCAAAGATGTGTTGAACATATTAAAATGTGTACAATTTAGTGAATTATTATCAAAATATAAGAAAAAAGTTAAATTTATTAGATAGTACAATTCTAACCAATTGGACAGTACAACCTTTTACCTGCGGTAAAATTGCATAGAATTTTCTCCTAATAATATCAGCTTCTTTATAAATACAGAAACACTAAGGAAGTATCCACCACTGCCAGTATTAACCAGAGATGCAGTCAGTAATTACACATTTAACGGTACGAAAGTATCGATTCCTGTGGGTACGAAAATAACTATACCCGTAATTGCAATACACAGGGACCCAAGTATTTACCCGAATCCCGATAAATTCGATCCCGAAAGGTTTAACGAAACCGGGAAGAAATCTAGGCATCCGATGGATTTTCTACCATTCGGCGATGGTCCGCGGAATTGCATTGGTACGTACAAACCTAACACTTGAAGCAACATCTTTATATATGTGTATTATATATATATATATATATACTTATAACAATTACAGAAACAATATTTTCCTTGAAACAGTTTTGTGTTCTACGTAATTTATATTTGAATAGTTGATAACATTACAAAATCTTTTCATCTAAAACCGAAAATTGCATGTTTCCATATTAATGTTTGCTATCGTCGTTAATGTGCATGTTGTAATCACTTCAAATTCTTGTGTTTCAGGTGCGCGTTTTGCCATTTATCAATCAAAAATTGGTCTCATAAAGATTCTTCAGAATTACAAAGTAGACGTTTCCGAGAAGACACCTTTAACCTATGAAATAAATCCGTTCGCGTTTTTACTCATGTCTGCAAAGCCATTATATTTAAAATTTACAAAATTGAATTATTAGTAAGATATTTCTTAAATACGATATAGTGTATATTTCCAATTGAACTCATTACTGAACATGACTAATTAATATTTATAAGAATTTTTAAATGATCCCTTTTGAAGGTAATTAATAGAAATGAGGTGCTAGAGAGAGATTATTTAATTTTCTGAGATACGCAATTTTATATCGTATTCAAAAAGAATGGACCGTGATGCTACACGATTCAGCCATAAAATGTCGATAGTATAGCAAAAGAAGTACACGTATTATATAACAAGCTGATTAGCATCCTTTTTTGCTTTATTACGACATCTGGTTACTTTTACTACAGATCTGTAGCTTATATGTTTTTAATAAGCTTTTGTTGCATATGCGTTTTGATCATTTGATTATTAAAGTATGAGATTATTACAATAAAAAAAATAATACTACACCATGTAATTTGTTTTTATTTGTAGTTTAACACTAAAATTATCGCCACCCTCCAATAATCACGGATTTCTCATTCCGTAATTATAGATTTCCTTATTCAGGCGCCACTTATAAAAAGAAAGTCCCGCTAGAACTAATTAAATTTAGTCTTATTTTTAAAACATAAGTTACCATTACTCTTCGATTGATTTATTAATAAGAATGCGATGTAGAAAATACAAGTCGAAACAAATCTTTTACGAAAACATACTATTATTCAACATTCTTTTTGTCTGTAAATTCTTCACTTAATATCAACGCATTTTATCTTATATATTAGATTTTACTTATGGTTATTTAATCCTCTAACTGCGGTCGAGTTTTTGATATTTTGGTATGAAATTGCGGAATTGTGGAATTAAATTAAAAGAGATATAGAAAAAGAAACAAAGGTGTTTTATAAATTTTTTAAAAATTAAAAGAATTTTTTAAAGTAAAAGTTTTTTTTGTTAAATTTTACAAAATATTTAGGACGCGAATTCCACGCTGCCTGCGGTTGAAAGGTTAAAGATTCTCATTATACATATAGTGTACAGTCTTAGTAATTACATGTCTAGTAATTAAAAATTACATTATAGTTATTGATATGTGATTTTTCTTTGATATACATACTTAGTGAAAATTATTTTGCAAAACTTTTTTTGGAACGTCATCCCCCCTCCCTCCCCCAAATTATGCCAAGAAATAAAAAAATAACCTGTGCAAAATAATGAAATTAACAAAAAATTAAGCTATATCGCGATAAAAAAAATTTGCCACCTTATTGCGTCCAAATAATATTCAGCATTTGTAATAGAAATTAAATATATGATATAATCGTTTCTTGCTAACATGCCTAAATTCGTGAACGATCGGTAACGTTGAGCGCGACACGGAAATGGTAATAGAACTCTAGAGCCCCAGAATTCAAGTCATAAAAATACATTGCATGAGTGTTTTATTCTATACCTCGTCCCTGCTGGCAAACTATTTTTGTGTGACATAAGTTTGCGTGTCTACAATTCTATTGACTTGCAGTATTAACTAAAGAATGTTAACTAAAGAAACAAAACACCCATTGTGAAATAAGTTAAACAGATAACACCTTGACAAAAAATAATGATAACGTAAACATTCGAAGCTATTTAAGTGATAACAATTGAATTTTTCATATAGAGCTCCTTTGAGCAATTTATATGACTTCTGACAGTCCCTAAATTTCCTTGCAAAAATATTGAAAATGTTTGTTAATAAGGTTATGAGTACATTAACTCGCAATACTTTGGGCAAGAACATTCAAAAGTCTGTATTAATCGTTCACAATGTCAATAATTTTCGATATTCCATGCCAAAGAACTTCATGAATTTTTCATATGAAAGAGACGAGCGTAAAAAACATCATTTATTTTTGTTATTGGGGGTACCAGTTTGTTTCATCATTGGTCTTATAAATTGGAAAGGGTAAGTTTTATACTATATAATATTTTTTACAATGATGTGCAATATAAACATTTGATTGATTATAATTTTGTAAAAAACATCATATTATATTATTAAATAAAATGCAATGAATCGAACTA